GAGAATAAGAGACTGATGTGAGATATGTATAAATGTGAATGCGGCCCTAACAACCTAATCCTATGCCATGTGTGTTACAAAAAAAGAAATGCATGTAATCTGCTGCATTCGCAATCTCGTAATGCTACTCCAGGCGGCCAAGGAAACTCAAAAGACGCTTCTTTCCAATCACTCCAACCACCTTGGCCGTGTCTTCATCGACAACTACCAAGTGACTCAGGCCCAGTTTGCCAAACATTTCTACCGCATACTCTAGAGGCGCCCCTGTTGAAATGTTCAAGGAACTGCGGTCTACTAATCGCTCGAAACTGTCGTTTGCGAAACTGATCAAATCATTTCCTTCCAGCTCCTGTTGTCCGATTAAATGCAACACAGGGGCAATGTTGCTTTCTGGAATATAGCCGATGCAGATCCCCTGCTCGTTCACAATAATCAAGCCAATGTCAAACATTCCTCCGGACGAGAGCCCGTTCAGTTTCGTTCGAAGGCTGGATATCATGATTTGGTTGTTGGGCTCCGTGCGCAGAACAATTTGTTCCATGACTCTTTTGGGAGGCATCAAGACATCTAAATCCGGAGATTCTTCACCATCCTTTAAAGCTCTCAATTTGACAACAGCTTGCTCCGAGTCCAGAAACGGGTGGCCCATGACGTGCTGAGACAAATCGTAAACCCCGTCTGCACTGATGGAGTCTGCAACCCACTTTGCCGTGAGAATGGCGACCATGAAAGGTGGAATGAAGTTGACTTCACCTGTGAGTTCAAACATGATGACTGCCAAACTCACAGTCATTCTGCTGACGCCGGCAAGAAATGCAGCCGACCCAACCATGGCGAAGATGCCAGGTGAGATGCCTGGGAAGAGCTGGCCGACCATTCTGCCGAATAGCGCGCCAGCATCCAGCGCAGGGATAATGATGCCAGATGGTACTTTACAGCCAAAGGTAATGATTGTTAATGTGAGTTTAATAAATGTACCCGAAATGAGCCATGCGTAGTATAAGCCTTTTCCATGCATCTTTGCCTCTTGTTCGCAAATCCAATCTTCCTTGATGTCGTTGCAGTCAACCAATAGACGTTCCATGATGATGTCTCCCGTCTCACGGATGAGGGGGTTGGGATACTGTAGAACAGCCGTGATGAAGACGACGATACAGACTTCTACAACCGGGCTGTTCTTGATCCAGGGCTGCTTTCGAAATGTCTTGGACCACAAGAAATTCGTGCTGCAGAAGACGCCACCGAATACTCCACCACAGATGCCCAGAAAGATGAAGACAAAGTAATGAGTGACATCGTAATCAACGCCGTATTTGGTCTCAAACAGCACCAGTTTTCCGGTCCCCGTAGGGTCCAGAGCTTTAAGTGTGGCAGCAGCCACGAGAGAACACAGAAATGATCTCCAAAGCACACGCCGTGGGAAGTAGGTGCTGATTTCTTCGTAACTGAAAAGAACACCGCCAATGGGCGCACCGAAGGCGACAGACAGGCCGGCGGAACAAGCCACGCTAAGCATTTCTCTCATCTTGCGCTGGTTTTGTGCATATTTGGGTACATGCTTCGCAACCAGGTGTCCTACGCATGTTGAGATGTGGACAAAGGGACCCTCCTTGCCCAGACACATTCCGGTAGCCACCGCAAAGGTTGCACCGATGGCTTTGACGGCGAGCACTTTGAACGTCAGGTAATGTGGGATAACGAAGCCGCAGAGTATTGTCTTGATCTCGGGTATTCCGCTCCCGGCGGCCATGTACAGTATCTTGCCTTGTGGCCGGTGGACGGGTTGTGCGTCCTGGTTATCGTTCTTGTCATTATTGTCAGCAACATTCAGGTCGACAACCGGTGGCAAGGGCATCTTTGTTGTCGTGGTGACACCGGCGGCAATGACACCGAATAGCAGGGCAAATGCGACGTATATCAGGTATGCCGAAGGGAAGCTTTTTGACCACGGTTTCCAAGTTGTGCAGTCTTCATCAGCAGCGCAGCAGGCTCGCCGATTCTGCCAAATGTTTGAAGTGCAATAGCCGTCTTTCCAACCCGCGACGGTCTCAACGCTGACATCGACAACAAATGCAACACAGGCGGTTATGAGGCCAATGAGGAAGGCTGCCACCCAACCGGATGCTGAATCCCAAGCTTTGGCTATTCGCACCCATGTTGTATTTACCCGTCGAACGTTGGCGTCTCGTATGCCGTGCCGCGTGTTGTCTTTGACCAAGTCATGAAGCCAGTCAATAGTAGCATAGTCCTTGTAGGGTGTGTCGTCGCCGTCGTAGGTTGAGTGTAGGGCCAGATGGTGGTTGAGGTTACGAGAGGAGCGCAGTGACTCTACGTCGCGGTCATGGCTGGCATGGAGGAGCGGCGTTGTCTCTGACAGATGCGGTTCTGTGTTGTCATACTGCTCATTACTGATGCTGGCCATGGCGAAAGGTTCGGTCAGGCCAGAGACGACAGGCTTTACTATGCAAAGGCCTCAGATGTTGAATGTTGGGCGGTGCCAGCAGAGGGATGTGTAGGAAGGACTGACTGTACAGGTCAAAGGATGGCGAGGAAGAGTAGAGCTTCGCCAAGCACGGACAAACAACATTTGAACGCAGAGTCTGCGACGCAGTGCGCACAACAAAACATTAGGAGCAGGAAAGACCAGTGGACATTGCAAATGTCGAATAAATGGCACGCAGGCACCTGAGGAGTGCCAGCCGGAGATCTGGAGAAGTTTAGATTTGTATGCCTGCGACTACATCATAGGCAACTTGGTGGGTAACCCCAGATGGCAACTCGGGATGTTGTGCACCACGAGACTGCCCATGCTCGCTGTATGATCACAGCTTGAGGCCAAGCGGTCGACTGGCATTGACTTTCTCGGCGCGGCAGGCGCGACGGCCGTCACATCCCTCAACAGCCAGCACTTGACATCTGGAGCTTTGGCCGCCCTGGGCCACCCTGACGATGGCTGCATGTGCCAACGTCGCTTGACGTCATGGGAGCCATCGGCGCTGTCTCGGGGGTGATGATGATTTTTTTGTTCATCTTTGTGGGGAGGTTTTCGGTCATCTGATGCCGTGAAACGAGTGCACCAACCACGAAACCGCCGAGGGTCTGCCAGCGGTTGATGCCTTTGCAAGGTCTGACTGAGGTGGACTGAAAAGGCGTGACAGAAGGATCACGGGAATCATTGGGCGGATTGGACATGCCAGATTAAGGGTTCAAAGTCTGATCTTAGATCTCGGCCAGGGTCCAGGGGACATGTCTTGTGTCCCTTTGAATGTGCGGAGGTGCGTTTGGTGTACCGAACCAGGATGCGACCCAATACCTACTAAGTACCTAGGTACCTAGGTACTTGGAGGTGAGAAAACTCACATGTAAGTACACTTAATTCATTTAAGGAAAAAATGGTATAAAAAGTGCCTTTTTTAGAAAAATACTACTCAATAAACCCGCCCACCAAGTTTACTCTGTTACTAAAGATTAATCTATTTCTTGAAATAAGAAGGTGGATTAAAGAATATAGATTCATCATAAACTTTCAAGTTTAAAAAGTGAATAAACTCAAATAACTGAAGAATCTTTGACTATGAGGGTCATGACTCAAAGTACCCTCAAGGTTCTATAGAAAATGGGGCCGATTCACCAAACGCACCTCCGCACATTCAAAGGGATGGTCTACGCAGCAGTACTACCAGACATGTATACGCAAGTACCCCCACACACATGTACATTAAGTACCCCGAGGTGGCACTGTCTGGGTGACGTATACTTTTTTGCTTCTCCTTTTTGCAATAAAAGTCACGTTTCAACCACGCAAGCCTCTCCCTCCACTTCTGCCATGGACGTTGTGGTAAGTGAATCAAGAAACAACAGCCACTCCCGTGGTTTCTTGTACAACTCTTGTGAGTGGACATGTGGTGATATATATTGACAGCAGTAAACCATCATCTCGCGTCAATTCATCCTGGAGCATCTTGACTGGAATGTCTGCCGGAGTTGCCGCCAAGGTCCGCTGTCTCTGATCAATGTGCTTTGACGCCTTGAAGTGCAACTTCGGCTGTGATTTTCGTTGATGAGGGATCGATGGATGACAGCTGCCCCTTCATGGCTTTCGCCAGTCGACTGCTCTGCGCCCAAATACCCATCATCAAATTTTTACATGACCGGGAAGCTACGAGAATAACAATGTGTTGCTGGCTCATGGCGGTACTAGGGAGCCATGGCCCGGCCATTTGTCCTTCATCCCGGGGTCCCTTGTTTATCATGGCCAGTATGCGTAATCGTGTGCCAAGTTCAACTTGCGTCTAATTATAAACTTAGTAACAAGTACATAGATCAAGCCTCGAAAGCAGTTGGCAGCTGAAACACTATTCCACGCCACGATCGACAGTATACTGCCACGGGTATGTTGCTGTTGAATCCCCATAACCTCCATGCCCACGGACCTGTTCTCTCACCAACCAGCCGCGTCCTTTTTCGCCACATAGGAAGATGCTCGGTCGGGAACCACCACTTTCCGACATTGCCAAGACTTCAAAGCCCCAGAATTCATCGTGCGGCTACTACTACAACAGCATCCCCAGCGGTTTTTCAAGCCGGATCGAACACCCCCCACATGCCGACGCAAGTGCCAAGGCGCCGGACTTGCAAATTGACAATACAGAGGATGTGATTGGCCCGCCCTTGGCTTGTAAACTCTTACATGAACTACTCGGGACGCGTACGCTGTCGCTCATTCTCATGGGAATAGAGTTATTTTGGCTCCTTAATTTAGCCGGGTCGTGGATACTACACTACGAGAGAAGGCCGCGTATCCTACGAAACTAGAAGATCTCCGGTCTCCGGACTGACCATGGCTACAGCTGGAGGTTGATGACGAGTCCAGCTAATCCGCTCCGCTGGGGATTACCTATAATAAGGGCGACAGAAACCTTTGAGTTGATTCAAAAAAGTCTTGGGATACATGTTCACTGTCAACTGATACTTGTTAGTTAAACTGCATTTTTCTCACCATGCATTTCCAAGCGCTTGCATCGTCTATACTTCTTCTCTCCAGCGTGGTTGTGGCACACCCTGGGCATGACCTCACCGACGAGATTCTTGAGAGACGATCTTTCAAAAATTCCGTCCGCCATGCCTCACTTAGCCACTGTGCCGAGAAACTGAAGGCGCGCGGGGTCCAATCTCGCAACCTGGAGCGAAGAGCAGCAGCAGCTGCCATGGCTCGCCTTTCCCGTCGTGTTTCCAGGAGAGATACGGACTCGGTACTCGGCGAGTCGCACAACAAGACCAGCCTCGGCTATTCTGAGAACACCAGCGTCTCGGAAATCTTTTCTGGGAATGCCTCGTGCGTACTTACACCAGAAGTTACCCAAGGTCCATACTGTAGGTTAGCTCCCTCCGCGCCGCGCACATTTCTGAACTAACCGTCGGCGCAAGATGTGGGCGGAGAACGGATCAGAAAGAACGTCACTGAAGGCCAAGCCGGAGTGGACATAGCCCTGGACTACCAGGTCATTGACGTTGACACGTGTGATCCCGTGCCAAACGTCTACGTTGAGATCTGGCACTGCAACTCCACCGGTGTCTATTCCGGCGTTGTCGCCAACGGCAACGGGGACTCATCCGACGAGACCAACATCAACAACACCTTTCTACGAGGCATACAAAAGACAGACTCGGACGGTGTTGCCCAGTTTGACTCGCTGTTTCCCGGGCACTACACCGGTCGGGCGACGCACATCCACGTCATGGTGCATACCAACGCAACCGAGCTGTCGAATCAAACACTGGGCAATCAAGTCTATGCCAGCCACGTAGGACAGGCCTTTTTCGACCAAGATCTGATTACCGCTGTCGAAAAGGTCGAGCCATATGCCTCCAATTCGCAGCCATTCACCCAGAACTCGGACGATAGTATTCTGACCGAAGAGGCTGATACGACTGATCCGCTGATGGCCTACACATTGTTGGGAGACAGTGTCGCCGACGGTCTTTTTGCCTGGCTGGCATTTGGCATCAACACATCCTATGTAAACGAAGTTCAGCCTGCGTCCTTCTATTACGAGTCGGGCGGCGTTGAAAACCCCAATTCTCAGTTCGGGGGTCCTGGGGGGAATGGAAGCGGCCGGCCTGGGGCAAGCAATGGCACGGGCACCTCGGGAGGGATTTCCTCGCCCACCGCCATCAGTATGGGAAATAGGTACACCATTGGCGCTGTGACCTTCTCCTTGGTAGTACTTATGCTGCCTCTGCTCTGGCTCTAGCGGCTTGTTGCGTGAGCTGCTTTGGTGGCGGCGCCCGTGAAGAAATCGCCGCTTATGGAGCTATAAATTGTAGGACACTGCCACCATCTGTCTCTTAGATTTCGACGAGTTGCTACTAAACGTCAAGCTTGGGTGAGCGAGAAACCTGAAATCTTGACAGGGCATGGAATGGCAGTTATATTTAGATTATTAAATAGAGCAAGCTTCGAGCCTGAAATCTCGTCGAATTTCTTTTTTTCTGTGAATAGGTTTGATGCATAATTGCCATGGCCCCGCCTTGAAGCATTTACAGACAGCTTCTTGTTTCTTAAATATATGCCCAGACGCCAATGTCATGACATGGTACCAGAGGACAAGCTAGCTTTCTACATACACGCCAAGCACCACATAATGTCATTCCATGTTCAACCCTCTTCCACGTCCACAATGTATCTGCGTCGCAAGTCCGTCTCTTCCTCGGTACGTGAAATCCTGTGCCGGCTGGCAACTTTTCCCACGCGAGCTAAACTCGGAGGTACCGCGTCCTATTCTTGGAGCCAAAAGTCTCGGGAGCGAGCCGAACCAAGATGAGCCGAAGCGTAGGCAGGCAGCTGCAGATCATGCCGACGTTTAATTCAATCATTGACCAATACGCCGTTGCCCACTGATCCCACGTCGGATTATCCGACCTGGCAAAATGAATCAACGAATGTAGCCGCAACGCGGACACGATTGTGACGCTGGCAATCAGTTAGCTGGCAACAACTCATGTTACAGAAGAAGAAGAAAAAAAGAACGTTGGTGGCCTACAAGGTTCCAAGGAAAAACATAATGGCCACGCCGACCTTCTTCTTCCAATGCAGCCTCAGGGGAACCACCTGGCTCATGGGGAGGACAATCATCCAAAGGTCAATGGCCAGGCCGATCGCGGCATTGAGCCACCCAAACAGGTTCATGTTGATGCAGCTGCCCTCTGCCGCGTCAAAGTACTGGTTCCAGTAGTAGTCAACGGGGGTGCACTGGAAGACCGCGCCCGTGACAAAGATCAAGCCGTATAGGACGTTGAAGGCCACCGTCGCCCGCAGCACCGCCGGCCCGGCAGTCGCGGCAAAGAGGCGCAGGTAAAAGAGCGAAATGCTGAGCTTGACGAGCGACGTGCCGGCCAGGTACAGAATCTCCATGACGTAAAAGTAGAGCATGGACCGGGAGATGTGGGCGGCGGTCACGGTCCAGACGTCTCTGCCGAGTCCGTTGGCCGTCATGCCACCGAGGGCGATGGCCAGGCCCGCGATGCAGATGACCAGGGTGCCGAGGATGGCCCAGTCTTCCGAGCCGAGCTCCCTGGCCGGATGGAAAAATTGCTTGAACACGAGGCGTGTTGTTGTGATGAAAATGGCGACGACCCCGAGTGCGATGTAGGTGCTGTTGTACTCTGCTGCTCTGTCTCGGACTGGCGCGTGGCATGCTGTCTGCGTGGCATTTTTCGTAGCTGTCGATGTCCAGTGAGTTGGCTTTTTCCTTGCTTTATTTCTCGCTCCTTTTTTTATAAAGAAAAAAAAAAGGATAACAGCACAGAGGGTTGGGGTTTTGTGACCCCGGTTTACATCACAAGGCGCAGAAACCACGATACTTACATAGACCATCCGAGAACGAGCAGCGAGCCTTCACACAGATGGCTCCTTCTTCATTCACGGTTTCGTCGGCGCAAAGGCATGCGATGTCGTCGGGAGAGCAGGTCGAATTCGCAACAGCAGAGGCAATGCAAGGAATCTTTGGCGTGTTGCGTCAGCTGGCCGCGTCCCTTGACACGTGGAGAGCGCAATTGGGAACTTACTGCGCATGATGGCAGCCTGGCGGTGATGCTTGCACTTGAATTCGACGACGGTGATGAATCTGATGATGGCGCCGGGAGCCCGGTGCTGGGTCCGGCCCTGACGGAGGGAAGGAGCGCCGGCGCGCCGGCGAGAATGGCCCAAAATGGCAATCGCATCATCAATCAATGCACTCCCGTCATGGCGAGCAAAGCGAACGGCGTGTCGGGCGACGTGAATTGATCATTGATGCATCTGCAAAGTCGCAAATTGCAATCTTGGCTTTATGTACATGGTAAGGAGCTGGGAGCTGCTGATGCAGACGTTGGAAGTCTTTCATTTTACAGCCACATGGCCAGGGCATCGGCCGATCAACCCTTCGTTCGCGACGTGGTCACTCAGCCATGTCGACCTTTCCCGCCAAAAGAGGTTTAGATGAGGGCAATCCAATACTGCTGGGAGACATGTCAAGCCTCCGTGGCGCAAACTCCACATTCCGGCCCCGGGGAGAGATGTGATTGATTTGTGCTACTAATTGCCACAGGGGACAGCCAAAGGGTCTTGGATTGAATGACAGCGTATCAAGACGTGTGGCGGCGACGGTCAGTGGAGAGATGGATTTTGCCGTCTTCAAGGGAGCTTGCTTTTTATGGAGACGGGGAGAAGTTCCGGCACGGCACTTTTCCCATTTCATGACATGGCTTTGTGGCTGGAGGCGTCGATTTATGAAATTACCCGCGAATCATGTAGGTTTACGGTTATACTCGGTCAAGAGTCAACCGAAGGCAATATACTCCGGACCGGAAGAATGGCCAGATGAAAACGGTGGTCGGCCCATGTTCCTGGCCATACTCCTATTTTCCGACCATTTTCGAAACATCTCGCAAGTCCGCCTCATGCCCAGCGCCCATGAGGCAACGCTCTAGATTATTTAAGGCATTTTGAGTAAGCTTTAAAGATTAAAGTGTCCGTACTATATCACCTCTGTGACGTGACCTCCCTCGCTGGGTTTGGTGGCAGGTTTCAGTGGCCCTCCAAACGAGAGAGTGTATTGGTTGGTTCAGTGTTACCAGGCACATGGATTCACGCCTCTGTTGTAGGAGGAGGATGGGCGCGAACGGGAAGTAATTTACTGCCGAGAAACACAAAAAGGGGTGACTAGCTAGAGTCGGCCCAGAGAAAGACGATTCTCCAACGCATCCGGCTGTCTACAATCTATCCATTTCGCCCATGTGTGCTAAGACGGGCTCTTTCAAAGCAAATCCGGCGCTACCGGAGGAGCGGGCTCCAGCCTACGCTCTTTTTGGTTCAAGAAGGACATCATCACCTGCTTGTTGAAACAAGACTCGCACTCGGTCCCCTCCGCCACGTACCAATCTCATACACTCAACAGTACAACTGAAAAAGAGCTGAGGCGGGCAAAGGACGGAGACAAAATGTAGGAACTTCTTATGTAGCATAGATTGACAGTTGCCCTATTAGGAGATTTCCACCAGGACTATATCGCGCGCCCGACATGCGTGTGTCCCCTGCTAGATGGGTTTGACAGCAGGAAAGCCAGAGACGATGACCAATGGTGGACCTTTGTCTACAAGAGGTCTATGCGCCGGCCATGCAAAGAACAATCCACTGGCAGAGGTACTTTTGATAGATCTTGTCAAGATGCTTAAACCTTGAATGGGCGGATCGCCATGGCCATCCACATTGGCGGCTTGGAGCAACTGGCTCGGCCTTGCACGACCTGCCTAATGCCGCTCTGTTATGGAGAACAACAGTGCTTCCTTGAGATCTCGTGTTCAGGCTTCCCGCGAACTGTTCATGAAGCCGCTTGGCACCATCGTTGTGGGCGGTGTCCGGACTAGGGCTCACGGCTATGGTCTGGCGGCCGAGCATTTCACATATCGGACTGAGTGCCTATGTAATGTACTCAGCCTCGTCAACAGCCTCAATTAAAACGTCGGTGCGGCTCATGACCTTGGCTATGTCGTTGAGCGCCAACTCGTGTCTTGTAATCTTGTCCAATCGCAATTCTATATACTCGTATACGCTGTTCAACTGGTAGGCTGTACCCGTGGCCAATATACGGGTTTGACATGAAGGGATTTTCTAATGCCGTTGGCCATTTCTTGGCTCGCTCTAGCATTTGCTAAACTCCCTATCGGGGCTTCTAGGCATCTTGTTGGGTAACAGGAGAATTGACAACGAAAAGGTGGAACTCTGCTGAACTCTTCCCATGGTTGCCATACATGAAGAAAGCTAGATGGGAGAAAGAAACACGTACCGATTTATTATACTTCGACTGAATAAAACATAGACATTTGGCTCCGTTTTGTGGCTCACCTCGATGAAAGACTCTTGCAAACGTGAGCAACAACTTTGCCCAGGACGACAGCCACTGGCTTTGCTTTCTCGACAGGCCTTGGCCACGTTACATGTGTAGCATCGTACGGTGACTCGGAGGAGGCCAGGGTGTGCTGCGGGTGGCTGGTGTCCGTTGACTGTAGATCTCAACTCTTTACTCCAACTTTTTGCCTTTTGTGTGCCTAGCCGGCTAGCTGTACTTGATAAGAGCACTCTTTCGGCAATATAGAAATGCTCCTGAAACGGTTGAACCGCATGACCTTCAACTGAACATACCCTCGGCACAGCATGGATTCTGCCACGCCGGTGGGGATTAACCTCTGCATGGCCACCATGCCCAATACAATGAAAGAATCTTCGTGTAGTTGGATAACATGGCTACTCAGTCAGAAGAAGAACATGGACTATGAAGGGATGACAGATCCGGCCAATCATGAAGTGCTCCATGGCTTCATCACCAGCACTGGAACATTCTTTATATATCGTTCTTTCAGTCTATAATCTTGGTGGAACTCGCCGCCACCACCATCATGCACTCCCTCGGCAAAACGGCCGTTCTAGTACTCGCCGCTGCGGCTACTAGTCATGGTCTCAAGGCTACCATTCTGGCAGACACAAACCGAGGTGGACGCGTAGATGTCACCGCTAAGACGGACGTTGAGGGATAGGCCACCTGGACCGAGGAGCGAGGCGCCTTATTCTTGCCAAACATCGTGGATACCAACCGCCGATGCTCGCAAAAAAATTCGACCAGAAACGACTGAAAATGGCCTTGCAGAATGCCGCGATGCGTCCGATGACATTCTACGCAACCCAAAGTACCTCGCTCCGCTTCGCACCGTGCCCATCAACAACTTGACCAGCTCTGTTACGGGTACTATTACCATCTCTGCCAAATATGCCCTTGAGAAGGTCCGAGTCTTCCACAAGAACAATGATAAATGGACCTATATGGATAGCAGTCATGAGTTCCGGGGGGGCGCCTTGGGAACTGGTCTGGAACTGGGAATCGATGCCCGAGATGTCCGCCGACCCAACGAGTGGGATGGCAGAGTCCCGTTCACTCCAACTTGACTGATGACGGGGAGACTTGTCCTGATCAAGTTGCCCTTCGCGTGGCACCAATTTTGACACACAATCATCTCGAAGCTCCGGACCAAGTTTCACGGTTGCCGGCATGGGCCGCCCGGAGCAGGCGCAGTTTGCGGCCTTGATTGCGAATTATACGGCCCAGGCTGGAATCAAGAAGCCCGTTTACATGTTTCGGGAGCGGGACGTCTGGACCCAGGATTACTTTGAGCCGCGCTACGCCAGCATGCCCGGCCCCGAAGGCCCCGTGTACCTGCGAGTGAATATCAGAAGCAGCCAGTCGTGGCGCGGTGCCGGCCGCAGGGTATTCTCGGAATTGAGGTCTGACTCCGTGGGAGCTCTTCAATACTTCCCCTCCGGGAACCCCTGAGTCGCCTGCGACCATTGACTCCATGGGAAACCTCGAGACCATCCCGCCGTGTTCGTGCGGCGGCAAGAATTACCCTGCTGGTAGAGCAGTCATGGGGCGACACAACAGCAAAACACCGACAATGCTGTCCTTCCTCAAGGCTCAGGAAGCCCAGCACCCCATCGACGACCTTGACCACGACCGGCTTTCAGTCGGACATGCCGATGAATACATGCAGTTCCTCTCTGCCAACAATTCGCGAGGGTGGATCATGACCGTGGATGATCCTACCTTGACTGAGCCTCCTTGAAAAGGCACGGGCAGACGGCCATGGAAAGGTGCAAGCCATGCCTCGCAAACACAAGTCATACGACCCTGAGAATTGTCTTCCTTCCAATAATATAGGGAGCGTGCTTGGCCTTCCCAACTTTGACAGTGTCAACCAGCACTGCGCAGACCGAATCAAGCACAACACAACATTATAAAGCGAGAAACCGGCATTAATGACGACGACATTGTTCGGATCTCCAGTCTCTTCTACTACAAAAACAAAGGCTTCAACTGCACAGACGCGCCACCCAGGGCACCGGAGGAAAGACAACCGCCAGGACTCAGACAAAGGACATCATCGAGGCAGCTGAGGAGGGCAGCCATCTACATAGTCGCGACGAGGAGACTCGGCGCATGCTGGCGCTGCATCCCGCGACTATTAACGGCGTCGTCTACGACAACCGCCAATACATGGCACCTAACCCGTGGGGGCCGATTATCGGAGGAAAGGATATCCTGGCCGAGGCTCTTAGTGAAGCCTACGCCAAGGCCGGCTTCCAGGTAACTTTCATGGACGGTTGGTTTGACCATCATGTTTTGAACGGTGAAACTCACTGCGGCTCTAATGTGGATCGTGACGCTTCTCAAAAATGGTGGTAGGTGGTACCGTTACATTTAAAGACCGACATTTGTGAATAGAAAGAGTTGGGATTTCTTTCTCGTAAGATGCCATTTTATGTATTTCGCGCTGCTCCTTGCTGAGACTCGTTTACGTCCCTTGAAAGGCGCCTAATTGATACGCAAGGCCTGTTCTGACATGTATAAATGAAATGTACATTCGTGGAATTTATTGCCAATAAAAACTCGGAGTAGCGGGAAAATAGGCCCAGAAGTTAACTCGGCAAGCACAGAAATACAGGGCTTAAACCATCCTAAGTGGTCATCTGTGACATCCTCTTGGTTGTAGGTAAGGCCAATGTAAATTGGTCATCTAGATGGAAACTAGAAGACTGCTATTAATAACAAGAGTGAATCCAGGTCTTAATAGACACTGCACCGACCACTGAGGAGTTGTAGGCACTCAACTTCTCCCCCACGGACCACCGCGTGGCTAGGAACACGGAGGACGCCAACAACCACGCCAGATTTCTATGCTGCATAAGCAATCCCCACCACTTCAAATCATGATTAACTCGAAACAAGTTGACGAAATCCTGGTGGTTCGCATCAATGCTGGAAGTTACCAAGGAGCCGGCGTAACTCTCGAGTATAACTCCTGGCGAATAACTGTGTCGAATTTCGCCGCTTGGCCTCCATGTCGAGTCGACCCACCGCTGTCGAAGATGAGTTCACCCAGCTTCGTTAATAAGCAGTCATCGTTGCAAATGAAGAAAATGATGGCTTGATAGACAAAGCCTTGGGTACCATCATTGACATCGGCCGATCTGCACTCTTCCAAATAACCTCCGCCAATATCTAAATCACGACCAGCAAGCCGGCTGCTGAGCGGGGAGACTCAATATGTAGTAACGGGCTGGTCAATGTACAGCAATGAACATTATTGAAGCACTGATGCTTCTATGCTGACCTACTGGTTGCTTAGATCAAGGCTATGAGCGCAATTCTGGGTGCGTTTTGCGAAATGCACAAACAGCGCTTCGCAGACAGATGGTGTCGCAAGGATGACCATGATGAGGAGAAGCAAAAACAAATTTGCTAGGAGGATGCGGCCGTGACTTGTTCTGAGGATGAACACGAAAATAATTTAGCCTCAAGTATTAGCTAGTATATAAGCGGAGAAAAAAAGCACCTTGGGTAACAAATATTAAAACTGCCAAGACCAGTAAATCACTCTCTTAGCACTCTCTGATGATATAACTTTTCGTCTTCAGCGCCACTAGACATCAGAGTCTTCCTTGTTTGAACGCGTCTTTCTGGAGGTTGGCCAAGGCCAAGGCTCAAAGGATGCTTCGCAAAAAAGTCCAAGATCATCGGGGTTGCATTAAAACTGGCGACATGATGACCGGGATTTTGATTGTCGATATTAGGAACCGTACTTGGCCAATCGTGGCCGATAGCAGAGTCATAGACGTGCTCGACCAGTCCAGCCTTGCTCCCGTGCCCAAAAGTGTAGAGAACAGTGTTTTGAGAAACGCGGGTAGTGGTGTTGTCGATACCCAGCCCATCGAGGGAGGCCCATTGTTGAATAAAGTGTGGGATGGAAGGAAGGCATTCCTTCTTGCGACTACCACCTTTATAAGAAATGACTTTGTCTTTGCCACCGTGAAACTCAAGGAAGGGCACGTCCGCCCTGCTGGAACGACATGAAAATTCCACGGTTTGGGGCCTACAAGGTCGCGAGTGGATGTAAAAGGCTCCGGAAACAGGTGCGAATGCTGCGACGCGGCTAGATAGCCTCGGATCACAGGCTAATAGATTGCAGAACCCTCCACCGTCCGATTTACCCGTCGCCGATATGCGGGTAGGGTCAATGCAATACCGATACTGAACATAGTCAAGTATATCGGATGTGAACAGGATATCGTCACTCGTCGCGCCAGGAACGCCTTGCCATGTTTCCTTGTGCTTGTCAGCATTTTTCTCGTACCGAATTGAAGCAGCAGGATGAAATGAAATGCATCTTCTTACATCAATCCCCTGTGGATAGATTACAAACGCAGCCGAGTTGAACTCTGGATTTGTTAATTGATCCAGCTTTAATTGATCCTCGGCATTTCTACCGCCACCATGATATGACAGAACGGCAGCAGCGGGAGTGTCTGAATGGTACTCCGGAGGTATCGAGAGGAGAAAAGTGCGCCGTTCCCCATCACTTGTTACATGGATGGTAGAGACTCCTCCAGCGAACTGGCCTTGAGGCAAGGGCTTGTAACATCCGGCAGGCAACGCAGGTGAAACCTCGCTGGGCATTGCAGAGGCCTCTATTAGCGTAAAGAGGAACGCAAAGGTGAGTAGCATTGTCTTTGGCAGAGCGTGAGTAGAAATGTTTTGCCTTCCCAGCACCTTGTACTTTCGGGGTGGAGAAGGGGAAAGACGCAATTGCAAACATACAAGATAGAATCCACAAGCTATATATTTGGAACCGGCACACAGCTCACATCGCAGCCTTCTTTGGACGTGCAGCTTCACTGGCCTGAAATGGCATCTTAGATCAGCGCTAGTCATTGCGCACAGGGCTTACGTTGCATTATCGAGAGCCAGTGGCTTCGGGAGCTTTGGGACAGATCCGTTCTTTCGTGGTTGTATTGCCAACTCAGTTGCGCCGAAGTTGCCGATATCCTTTTCACTAACGATGGCGTGGCATTCATTTTGGAGCCAGTATGTCTTCAAACCGAGCATCATGTGGCGACCGTTGGCTGCTCCCTGAAGTTAAATGTGCTTCATGTTAGTCGACGCACACCGAAGCATCCTGCTCCAAGCTGGAGCTAGTAGTGCACTTGGTGATGAAGAGAACGATGCCCGATATCCAGAGAAGAAAGAAATGAAATCAAGCTCAAGTTGTTGTCAAACGAATGAAACGACGCCAGTTCGGTAGTCCATGTTTGAATGTCGTGAATGAAGGCTGGGGTTTCCAGGACTCGAGCACATCGCTGCCTGAAGGTGCCTTAGGCAACAAGGCTGCTCCACCGCTCAACGGTCAGCTACGCCGGCTAAACTCTGTGGTTGCGTGGTTGGCAGTGGCGCGGAGAGTCTAGAAACAGGTCAGTTGAGAAGTCCTGGACTGGCAAGCTCATCAACGTCATTACTAAACCGCTGTACCACAACGCCTCTGCACGCCCGGCTTCCCGGCTTCCCGGCTTATGTGTTGCAGCCCATTACCGGCTCTGGGGTGGTCCACTCTGCAGGTCCATAGCTCCCGCGCGATCATAGATCGATGGAGGAGAACAAACGCTCCATGCTCTCACTACATTTCACTACTTTCATTACAATCGAGCTGGGTGCAAGTGATAACCCAACAGCCCAATGCTATCCGGTTTGGTTTTCACGCTGAGCGGCAATCAATATGCAGAAGACACACCACTGACACGGCAAAAGAAGATGAGAGATGATGAGTCATATGTATATATATGCCACGGAACAACCCAGATAGGCTGAAAAAAAAAATTAAAAATTTCAAAAAACAGAACGCTTTTGTATGCCAGCCACTCAATTATTAAAGTGAGGAGTGTTGAGTAAAATACCCATCAAACAGCCACCGATCAAGCCTGCAATGGGAATAGTCATAAACCAAGAAAAGACCAGCAAGCCAACTCGTTGCCAGTTAACCGCCTTCAAGGTGCCGTTACAGAGACCAACGCCAACCGTGGCTCCAGTAATGCACATGGATGTCGAAACCGGCAGCGAATACTGTGAGAAAACGAGAACTGTAATAGCAGCACCCATCTCCATGGAGGAGCCTCGGCTGGGTGAGTGGTAGGTGATTTTATTACCCATGACTAGAAACTTGTCAGCGCCTTGTGTGCGGGATGCCAGAAAGTGGGAAGCATATGCCTTACCCTTCATAATATTGTAACCGTACGTGATAAAGCCGATACAAATGGTCAGTGCCATAACAGCAATCTGCCACAGCTCAACGGGCGAGTTGGACGTCAGGGCCCTGCCAGTGGACCACGCGGAGTACATGGCGGCCCAGACACCAACAGCATTACCGACGTCATTGGCGCCGTGGGCAAAAGAGGCAGTACAGGCAGTAATGACTTGGACAAACGAGTACAGGTACTCAACCTCGTTAGGATATTTCGTCGCCTTGTCATAAACGCGCTGCATGCGGCGACCCTCGGGGGTGCCCTCGATGCCGACTTGAGCAGTATGAATGTCATAATGCATACCATAGAGAAGAGCAACAACCGCCATAGCGGGAATACGCTTGCAGAGAGCAATCATATTGTGAGTCTCATAAAGAGATCCGGCGCCCATGGGGTTAGCATGCAGTGTCCGCATCGCCCAGCCAAGGGGACCACGGCTCTTCCTGAGCTTGGCGTGGTGGCGCTCTCTTGCTTCGGCTATGAGCCTCTGGTAGCCTTGTTGATTGCATTCAGCCAAGATGAGCTTCTTCTCGGCAACATTGTTGGCAGACTGCACAGGTGTTCCTGGCTTTTCGCCATCGGTGACGGTACCGGACGCCCCTTTGGTGTCGAAGACTCCCGCATCTGACTGGCTGTTGTCGTCACTAACTTCACCGTGCTGGACGACGGCATAGTCGGGTACCTTGGCCTGCACTGCATCTTCTGGGGGCTGACGGCTAAAGAGAAGAGGGCCGTAGACGGCATGCTTCCATGAAACTGTGTAATCCTTCTTGAGCACTTTGGCATGAACAAATGGCACAAAGAAGATTGCAGCTAGCACGAACAGACCCCATCCGACTCCGAGAGTGACGGCGGCAATATACCAAGCTGGCTTTTTATCCAGGCCGAGTCTTGGGGAGCCCTTATAGACGACGGAAAGTGTGCAAATAACACCAGCGATTAGGAAGAAGAAGGGCGACGTCCAAACAGCCCAGGGTATGGGGTTCTTTCGAACGTGAACAACCAACTTGATAAGCATAAAGATAATGGCACCAAAGCAGGCAGAGATGGCCGGTGCCATGCCGAGGCCGGCAAAGATGGCACCAAGACCTTTACCATTATTCCATCCCCACTGGACGCCAGAAGCACCAACAGTGGCAACACCGACACCGGCAATGGACGAAATAAGAGAGTAGGTAGATGAGACATGGGCTGAGTGTCGAGTACACCATTGAACCCAGAGAGATGCGCCAGCAGCAGCACATGTGAAGGCCAGTAGTTGGACGCCAGGGTTATTCTGAAACGCTGACAGAGGGATGATTCCATTCTTGATGGTCGACGCGGTTCGGGCACCTACAGTCAAAGCACCGAGCATTTCAAACACAAGGCACAGGACCATGGCCTGTCTGTATGTCACAGACCGTGAGGACACGCTGGTCGCCCAGGCATTGGCGACATCATCTATTGGTAAACCCCGTGTTAGCTAAATCTCTGGGCACACTTCCAAGAAACGGTCAAATCACACATACTTGCACCGTTGTTAAAGGCTTCGAGCAAGGCAAAGCCAGTGCCGATGACAAACACGTACGTGTACTGGGTGAGCACCATGTTGTCTGTTGTCTGGAGCTTGTCTTGCAGCCGCGAATTGCCCGAGTGTAAGCTCTGAGGAAAGAAACTGACGACTGGACACGGATACGATTTCTGTCCACCAGGGAGGAGCAAATGCTATTATATGTACTGGCCTCCATTGCGTCCTCTGTGTGCTCCGCAAGTCACTCCCACGTTTTCATGTGGTTGAACGGCTGACGGCCCTTCAGCGTTCGGTGTCTGCTTCTGGTGAGCCAAGAAGCCAAGCCGATAGTAGCGACGAGTTTTTCCAGCACGGAGAATTGTCACTATCCAATGAGCGAATCTCAGGCTTACAATTAAGCTTAATGCGGGCTTGGGGGGCTTGAGTCGGCACGTCTTGGCAGTCCCGCTGCATTAGGAGATCAACCTCCAGGCTCGCCAATCACACACACATGGAATCCCACGTGTAGGCGGAGGACACAAGGAGCGCGCAGAGGTTGGGCGTGCCAGGTATTTTTCTATTTTTTCAGCCGGCCCTTCTTCCTGTCATGGCAAGAGGTCATGCTGCGCTTTTCGCGTCCGTGTTTGAAAGCGTTTCGGGAGAGCTGCGCGTTTGCCCACGTGTCTACCGACGTCCTTAAACGGCATGATCGAGACCCGGTAGACCTCGCTGACTCCGTTGCGCACAAGCTTAATCAGAGTGTCTCGGCCTGGTTCTTCTAAAAGCCCACGTTGGCGGGACGAAATCTTGCATGAGTATGCAATCTCTCCTTCGACCACTTGCTGTATTTGGTCCGTCGATGGAATTCAGGTAGAAGAAGCCTGCCCCCGCATTGTGATACTGTATAAACGTCCTTTGTATGGAGTCAACTGGTACATAAATACGGAGAGGCCGATTACGGTCGCACATTAGCTAAGGTCCGCAGTTGCTACCACAACCCCACATCTAGCATTTTAAGTGATTTTAGCGGTTTAGGCGGTTTAAGTGATTTTTGGCATTTTAAGCAGATTACCTGTGTACGAGTAATATTACCACTATAAAGAGACCTAAAATACGTATAAGAGAAGGTTTATACTCTTTTAAATAAAGAACTTACCTATTAATAGATTATTAATTACCTTAATAATTAATTTTTTATATAAGAGTAATAAATTATTAATATTTATACCTTTTAATATTAGCTTTCTTCTTAAGGTTTTTTACGTATATTAATTATAATATTTTTCTTTAATCTTTATATAAATAAATTAATTAAACGCGTATAATTTTACTTCTTTTTATATAATTACTTTAATAAGTTAATTTTTTTAAGACCTTTAAGTTTAAGACTAGCTATTATATATAAAGCTCTTATAAATATAGAATACAAGTGTATTATATATTATATTT